CCTTCCCCATTTTATGTAAGCCGCCCTGAGTCCCCTCAGGGAAAAGGGTGGCCTATAAATACTAATAAATACCAAATTTTCTTTTCTGAAGTTCTGCATCTCTATATGTGTTTGTGTTTTTGTGTTTCTGCGGTTGTTCCATATGTCTGTATGTGTGCTCTGGGAAGCATGTTATGTGCTACATATGACAATTCTGGATCACGTGACTAGGACCAGGCTTCTAGACTACATGAGACACCAGTTTCAACTTGCTCCCAGCTGCCTCTTCTAGCAGAATGCACTGGGAAATTTTCTTTTTCACCATCTTCAGCATGAGGCCTATTTTTCATTTCCACCTTTCTTTGTCCTGTAATACCAATTCTGTTTCCTGTTCAATTTTTAGAAAGATAGCGTGCTGACAAACAAAAATTGAAAGAGTAAAAATTCCAAGTATGAGTTAAATATCGTGACCCGACAAAAGCGCGCATGACAAAAGCGTGCCGACAAAAGCGCTTCGCTAAAACCGCAATGTCATCAACGCACCGACAACAGCACGCCGACAACAGCGCGTCGACAGAAGGGCGATTTAAGTTAAGGTAAGGGTTAGATTTAGGGTTAGGTTTAGGGTTAGGTTTAGGGTTAGGTTTAGGGTTAGGTTCAGGGTTAGGGTTAGGGTTAGCGTTACATTTAGGGTTTGGGTTAGCGTTATGTTTAGGGTTAGGGTTAGCGTTAGGGTTAGGTTTAGGTTTACAGAGCGCTTCTGTCGCCGCGCTGTTGTCGGCGCGCTCCAGTGCTCATTCGTCAGAGCGCTTTAGAACTCGCAGTTTTGTCACCACGGTTTAGTCGGGCGCGCTTTTGTCGGGCACCCTTTTGTCGGTGAACCGTTAAATACAAGTTGGCACAAAGAATCTTAATATAAATATAAAACTACATGTAGATAGTTGGTTGACTGAAGAAATAGGTTTCCTGTGCCGACTGGTCCCTCATCAGCCTTCCAACTGTAGAACAATGAAAAAAGCAAGTACATTATGAGAAGTGGATAGTGATTCTTGAGAGGTGCTTATTGGGTGCCATGAATTGAGGGTACATGTTCCCAAAAGGGTGATCTTTGGGTTACAGAATGCATCTGGTTACTAAGACATATTTAGGAGGAGAAACATGGTAACTTTCTATAAGAGCCAGATAGTTCTTAGAATTAGATAAAGTGAAATCACATGTGATTTATACATGTAGGTAACTTGTCATCAGAGTATGAGTAGAAAGTCTTGTGCACATGAAGATCTCTATATGTTCAGGGTTTGTCTTCGTAAGATTCCTGCTTGGCCAGAAGTCAGGTGCTGTCAGGTGCGAAGGATCAAGATTATACGTTCAAAGCTTTAATGCTTAAGCCTATATTTAGCAAACTTTGGCTAATTGCTTTTTCCAATTGCATCCTGGTATCTCACAGTCAGCTGTCAATTTCAGAATTCTCCTAGGTTTGGGATTATATATAATGTAACAAATCTTTTAATTTGAACTATTTTTCCAAAGTAGAAACTAAAGTCAGATACAAATAAAAAGTTCAAAATGATGCCTGTAATCCTGATTTCAACCTTTAATTTATTTCTCCTTCAAATCAATCCCAATTTTGTATAATTATAGCCATACAGGGAAATGCTAATGCTTGCTTCTTTCCTGCCATATATATTTCAAAAATGAGCTTAATGGGATCTAGCTTATGTGTTTACACAGGATGAGCTGTTCACTAGGCTTTCTAGCAGGTCTTTAAATCTCAACATCCATCAGGGATGCAATTGTAAGATTTATTCTTCAAATGAAACATTGAGTACCTGCCCTTTGTCACAGAGAAAAGGTTGGTTGGTTGTTTGGTTGGCTTTACTATAAGGACAGGAAACTTGTAGTGCTCATCTCCAAGTCCTCTTTATTCAGGCATCACCGTCCTGTCTGACCTTAACGTCTGAAAACTGTGCTTTCTTTACATTTTGTCATGGCTTGGGATTCAGATGACTCTGAATCTGAAGAAGCCACTCCAGCTTGAGCCAGCAGAATGCGAACCTCAGAAGAGATCAAGTCATGAATCAGTTGAGACTGATCAAACAGAGGCATTATCAGAATAGTTGGAACAGATAAGATATAGCTTTCAAACCTTCAGATTCAGCAAGTAAAGATTCTCATTGAGGCTCTTTGGCAAGCAAGGGGGTGACTGTCTTAATCAGAGGACATCTGGCTGCATACTGATTTAAGTGGCAGCCTTGCTTCTCTATTGGAAGTCCAATTTCCTGTAACTGGCATATTGTTGCTGTATATTCTGCTCATACAAGAAACTCTGATCTTTGGACTGAGTAAGGACCTGTCTTGACTGCCTGAACCTCTGAACCTCTCTCCTGCATGCTCCTCTTTAAACTACATAGACAAGCTTTGTTTCCAGGAGACTGTTGATATTCATTTGCTTATCTGCTGTCTATCCATACCATCTTAAGCAAATTGCTACCATCCCCTAACAACTGCATGTTTGTGTGTTTGAAATAGGACACATTTGAAGGAGTGAAGCTGTAGTTCAAATGATGAAGCAATGAGCCTTGTGATCACCCAAAACTATTTCTGGCTCTATGATCACCCAAAACAAAGTATAATACTTGACGGTCAACAAATGTCCTAATCTTGTTCTCCAGGGGAAAAAAAATACCTGCTCAATGTAACTGATGAGTGAATTCTTGTTGTCCTCCCAATAGGTTTTCAGAGTTTCTTCTGGAGGGAATTTTTCACAGCTAAGCTCCACGGTGATTTCAAAGCAATTGCTGCTGAGATAGTTGAAGTCTTGCATACCTATGTAATTACATATACAAAAGTTGGTATTTAATAGGCAGTGGGTTCTAAAGCATATCATATTAAAGCTAAGTGGAAATAATTAGTTGGACTCAGTTGGAATAAACAGATGTGTACTGTAGAAAATTCAAGAGTGATGTATATTATGGTACACATATACTGTTCTATTTACAAGACCTTCAAGGCAGTTCTTGAACTATAAGTCTGAAGGATAATATGATGATTGATTTGCAATCACAGCTGTAATTATACCACATTTAATATTACATTTGGTCTCTATATTTTGCTGATATGTACATTTGGCTTCAGAATTCCTACTTAAGAGTCAAAGAATTTCCAGGTATAATTCAACTGTTTCCAGGTAAAATGAGTTAATAACAGATAATAACAACATGACTGATGAAGCCTTGAAAACCAAGGATTTTGAAATGGACTTTTTAAAAAATAGTGCAATTTCAAGAAACACAGTATATCAGTGCTAATTATGAGATGGAGACTTACCCATGGTAAAGTTATTGCTTAATACATTTGAAAACATAATAGTTGTTTATATATGTTCATCAGCCAGGGTGGTATTCACTTACCTTCCTTACTGGTTCACAAATGTGAGCACATGCGCCATCTCCGTACATGTGTACAGCCTTTTGCGCATGCACTTTTGGCAAAAAAATGCCTAAATGGGATGTGGTAGAGTTGGGGTGAGTGGGTGGGGCCACCCATGAGTTCCACTACCAGTTGGGGTGAACCGGTCTGAACCGGTAGAATACCACCTCTCTTCATCAGTCAAAACTAATCAAGAATATGCCAACGAATTTAAACAAAAAAAGAGGGTAGCATAATGAATCAATAAGAACAAGCTTTTCTTGATTTTTAAAAAAAATATGCCATTCAAAAAACATTCAGCATTCCAAGCTGTGGAAACTATATTGGAACAACAATGCTAACAGAATGTAAAGTTACCACAGTAGTATTACAATGCTCCTTGTTTATTTTAACTGTTTCAATGGTTCTCATTTTGCGAGCTATCCAGAGTTAAAGTAACTCTGGGCAGCTTACAAAATGAGAACTCTGGAAACAATTAAAATGAGATGGGCTGCATATAAATTTAATAAATACGTTTTAAATAAATAAACAAATTTAATTAATAAATAAGCAGATAGAGCTGATGGAGATTTCTACCTTTCCATAGAGAAACACAGACTATCAGTTTATTTTAGAATAACAAACATTGGTGACTAATAGGTCTGCCATCAATGCTACTCAACAATGTATATGTATGCTAAGGCCTCCACTTAGTTACTACCGGTAGCTGTTTATATACTACTGAAACACCACTACCTCCACTGAGGCCAGGGGAAGTTCATTGTGAAGGACAAGCTTTGTCTAGATTATTCTGCAACAGAGCAACCTCACTGTAAATCCTTCTGGCAACAACTATATGAGTTGTATGATATTTGCAGAATTTAATACATTATCTGCTCCATAAACGTGTGCACTAATAAGTCATATCTGACTTACATTTCTTCTTTCAGCTCTACTCTGACATACTGTAAGTATAAAATTAAAATGTTGTATTTCAGCAACACAAACCTCCTGGAACGCTATACCAAGCACCACCATTAGTTGTCCCATCAATGAAACTGCTGTCGTCGTCATTCTTGCGACATGGTGGCCGATTTGGGTTTGACATGGCTGGATTAAAAGATGAATAGCTTCGAGCTAAGCTTTGGAAAACAGCATCATCTGGGCAGGAGCTGTATTCATGTGCACTCCCTGGAGGAAGAGTAGTAAAATACATAATAAATGACGGAGAGGAAAAGAGAGAATGTAGGCCAACTTTAATTATCTGAATCTAGGTCATTTAAAATTCAGGATTATCCATGACAAGCTTAAAAAGCTGTTTCAGCCGTGACCCGACAAATACGCGATAGACATGTGCGCTGACAAAATCTCACGACAAATTCGCAATGTCAAAATCACGCCGACAAAAGCGCAATGACAAGCACAATAAAGGGTTAGGGTTAGGGTTGTTGGGGTTAGGGTTAGGGTTGATGACGCGATTTTGTCATTGCGCATTTGTCCATCGCAGTTTTGTCGGCGCGCATATGTCTATCGCGCATTTGTCGGTGAACCGTTTCAGCAATATGAAAAAACTAAAACAAAACTAGAGTGAGATATACTTTGTGAAAATAGTACTAAACTAAATAAAAAGAATGGTATAATCTCATCTTCGTTATTATGCTCCTAAAACCTACTCCAGAGTTCTTTTTCTCTCTTCTTCAATGGGCTCTTCCAGGTTTTAAAAAAAGGGGGAAAGTGTTTTGTCAGTTTGGAAAACTACAACATACCATAAAGGGGGGGGGGGGGAATTCTGCCTCTCTACTGATTAAAAAGAAAAAAAAAAGTTTATTCTGGGAAGTCTGCAGTAACAGGCCAAAAGAAAGGAAATTAAAACTTATAAATAATACAAAAGCTTAATTAAAATAATGGGCAGTAAAACTTAATCTGTCCAGATTGGGAACGTGTGTCTTAGCATGCTATTCAGAACTCAGCATAGCCATCAAGCTGACCCAGGCTATTGAGCCTACAATTACCTCCCAAAGACCCGTTAGATCTCACAGGGTCGGCCTCCTCCGGGTTCCGTCCACCAGCCAATGCCATCTGGCTACTACCCGGGGGAGGGCCTTCTCTGTAGCAGCTCCGGCTCTTTGGAATGAACTCCCCGTGGAGATCCGGACCCTCACCTCTCTCCAGGCCTTCCGGAAAGCCATCAAAACCTGGCTGTGCCGGCAGGCCTGGGGTTGATGAGTTCCCCTCCCCTCTCGACTGTGGTATGGCTGTGTGATTTTCGTGTATTTTAATTATGTGTACTGTTGTTTATGTTCCCTCTCCCCCCTGAGTTGTTCGCCGCCCTGAGTCTCCCCTGGAGA